AAGCACGGGAGCCTGCGCCATCCTGGACTGTTGAACGTGCCCCTGGCTTGAAGGCAAGAGCCCTTCAGGGAGTAGGAGAAACTTAGGTTGAAGACATGCGAGGTGCTTGGAAAATGCACACTGCTTGGCCTGTTTACGACGTGCAGGCACCTGACAGGTGGGTCTACCCACAGGTGTGCTCCTATGGGCTGGCTGAGGAGGACAGGACATGCCCTAAAGTGTTAAGGAGAAGATAGAGAAGCAAGAGTCAAAAACATCGAGGTCCCAATATGCCAAAAAAATTGTACGGGTAGAGTTTGCTAAGGGACACAAAGCCAAGATACTTAGCTATGTAAAGGAGCCCCAGGGAACTTAGGCCGAATGAAGTTGGTTCACCTGTGCTGCTTCTGCCTTGCGGTGGGGTCGTGACAGGTGCAAAGATGTGCAGGAAGCTGCATAATCAGCCGCGCCTCCGCAGGCCGGTGTCGGGCGGCAGCTGTGGTGTCGTGGATCAAGAGGCTTGTGTTGAATTGAAGGAAATCACCTTTTGTGGATCAAAAATTGTCAAATAACTGACAAGCTCATATGGTTCGTTTTACTCTCTCTCATGACCTGCCTCAGAAATTTACCTCTTTTTTTTTTTTTTTTCTAAGCTACTCTGTTTACACGCCTTTGTTTTCCGGTATCTAGTCCAGAGTGAAATCCTGTTTATGCAAACATTTTATTGTCTCCAGAAAGACCACATGAGTGTGCCAGAAACAGAAAGCGCCCTAGCTGCCCTGCCTGCCCTGCCAAGGGCTCACTGGTCCAATCCTGCTGTTTGATTTCTGTGTCGTCTCATACAGATATGCCACTAAAAATAAAAACACTCAGATACATTAAAGAGCAAATAGTGAATCCAATTATTTATTATATAGACATTTGCATGCATAATATAGCTAATAAAAATAAAATGCTTTAGAGATGAACTCGTAAATATGCAGTGACAATGTACTATGTTTTAGATCAATTATTTAAAAAGTTGATTCAAAAGGAAACACTTCATAAAATTCAGAAAAAAATAATTAATATGAAAAACCTGACAACAAAATATATTACTTAATACTTTTAAAGGTCAAAGAAAAAGAAAAGCATATCAACAGGACATGGAGGTCCAGCTGACTGTTAGATGAATCTTCCCAGCTGCTGCAGTATCAGTGAGGAAATTAGGATATAATCACAACCTAATATTTTCTTTAGGCCCTAATACTAAATCCTGTTTCTAGATTGATAATTTGGAAGAGATTTTTTTTTTTTGTCTCTAGGGGCTTCAGTCTTTCAATCACTAGCAAATTCTAGTACATTTTCCAAAAAAGAATGTCAAGGTCATCTTGGAGTCATCTTACATTTCACTACATACGGAAAGAGGTTTGATGCAGTTCCTGTGTCAATGTCCACACTGATTCTCCATCTTCCATTTGTTCTACTTGTTAAAAAAATATTTAAAGTATTTAAAATATTTATTTTAAAAATAAAATAATAAATAAATATAATAAAAAATAAATATAATATAATATAATAAATAAAAATACTATAAATAAAAAATAAATATAATACATAATATTTATTTTAAAAATATTTAAAATATTTAAAGAAGCAGATTCTCAAGTGACATCCAAGGGAAAGTTCAAAATCTGTGTGGATTTTGCCACGCTTCTTTGCGGGGAAGAGTGGACACCGTGTGTAGGGTCAGGAGTATAGAATGTCCCCCAGAAACTCCCCCAAATGGAGTTTCACAGGACTGCTCATGGGCCACGTTTGTATTTCTTGTATGGCTGAAGAGTGAGACCCACTTGGCCCGCATACCCCTCCCAACACCAGACCGTGATGCCTCGGGGCTGGTCACTAGTCAATGCAGAGCACCCAATAGCGGACGTGATGTGCGGGACAGCAGGTTCTGTTCCGGGCCAGCCCCGCCCTTGCGTCTGGACCCATGAACATCATCCTTGGTGGGAATAAGTGACCACGGCACGCTCGTGACCCTCAGCGTGGGGGCAGACGCATCTCCATCTCGTCCGCACCGCGGGCCAAGCTACAGCAGGTCTATGTGCGAGCCCTCTGCCGTCAGGGGGAAGGTAGTGGTATCCCACACGCTGTCGTGTGTTTCCTTGTAAAAAGAAACAGTGACTTTTAGCATCACAGAAGCAGAACCAACTTCTAGAAGTCGAAGGTTTACTAACGGTCATAGTAATGGCTAATGGTTGGAGCCTTGTTTGCCGGGGACTTCGCGTGGATCACGTAGCTTAGGGGGCCCAGCCGTCCTCCGACATATGAGGGGGGAGCTGAGGGTGTGTGCACGGGGGTGGGGAGACTGCGTTGCTCCCGGGGCCACGCAGAGCCCGTCTGGCATCCCGACTGCTGACCTCAGGGCTGTGTCCTCTGTCGGGGGGTGGGGCGCCCAGCCCCCTACCCAACTGGGAGGCCACACCAAATGCAAGGCCTTTTCTGTTATCAACCATTCCAATGAACTGTCTTGAATTGAAGAAACGTGGTTCAAGGCATCCGAAGAATTAAATTCAGGTAAATCTACTCCTCGCTATGGTCAAGTCATGCCAAGAGCTTGAACTCCGAGGTCTATCCTTAAGGAAACCCGTTCTCTGGGGCTTTCTTCAGCCGGGGTTGCACACAGGGACACTTTGGCTCTTCTGTGACCGTCAGCATAAGGGCCAACTTCCTCATTTGGTGGCTTGTATGGTTGGAGCGCAGTGAACCTGCTACTCAACGCCCGTCTGCGTTTCTATCGCTGTTCTGCTTGTAGAGACCGATGCGAGCACACCGTATCCACCAAAAGTCCTGGTGCCTTTATGATCTTGCGGGCTGGTTTCACCTCTTTGGTGCTCCTAGACACTCAGGGAAGACCAGTTTCTCCTCCCATGTAGACTAAGCCGTCCTGGATCAGCCCCTGGGCCTGCGTCCATTCCCCACATGGCAGACCGTCCAGAAACTCAGTCCTGAGACATTCTCCAAACATCCCCCAAATGGTTAATTTGATGGGAAAGTGGTTAGATCGCTAACGAAACCTGAATTTGAATTTGTGCTTGGTCACTGCGAGGTAACGGAGGAAGCCCCTGAAAAACCTGAGCAGCGGGACCAATAGATGCATCTGAATTCAATTAATTAACGCATCCTGTATTATCGGTTTCAGAGGCAGAGGTCAGTGATTCACCCGTCTTGTCTAACACCCCCTGCTCATCCCCTCAGGTGCCCTCCTAGTGCCCGTCACCCAGTTACCTCATCTCCCCACCCCCTCCTCTCCAGCAGCCCTGTCCATTCATATGATTAAGCGGCTGTCACGGTTTGTCTCTTTCTGTGTCTTGTTTTATTTTTTTTCCTCTCTTCCCTTATGATCCTCTGTTTCGTTTCTTAAATTTCACATATGAGTGAAATCCTACGGTAATCGTCTTTCTCTGATTGACTTATTTTGCTCAACATAATACCCTCGAGCTCCATCCTCATGGTTGCAAATGTCAAGATTTAAAATTTTTTGATGACTGAGTAATATTCCATTGTGCATACGGAGCACATCAACTTGAACCCTTCATCTACTTAAGGACACGGAGGCTCCTTCCACAGTGTGGCTATCGTGACATTGGGGGGCAGGTGTCCCATCGTTTCACTACGTCAGTGTCTTTGGGGTGAATTCCCCGTAGTGCAATTGCTGGGTCCTAGGGTAGCTCCATTTTCAACTTTCTGAGGAACCTCTGTCGTGTTTCCCACCAGCAGCATTCGGGGGTTCCCGTTTCTCCACATCCTCGCCAACAGTAGATGCATCTTGATGTGCATGAAGACCCTCCTGTATTTGTTGGCACTCACTTTTCTCCCTCTCACCACTCGCCACTCGTGCAATGATCTTCTAAACTTGCATTCAGCTGACATCATGTCTCATCCTAAAACCCCTGACGCCTTCTTCCCACCCGACTCTGCACAACAGCCGGACGGGCCGCTCCAGGGGGACGGAGGCCCCTTCCTTCCTTTCCAGCTGCTGGCACCAGTCACACCGGGCTGGTGTCTGTTTTGTAGAAGGGCTGACCTCGACTTCCCTCAGGGCTGATTTATACCCATTTCCTCTGGCATCTGTTACTCTGTAATCCTTTGAACTTCTTCATTTTGCTGCCAACCACTTGTCATGACCGGAAATCCTATACATTTAAAAAATGTTATCCTTTCTCCCCATACATGGTGAGCCCCACGAGTGTGAGAATCCCGACTTGTTTGTTCAGTCCTTACCTACTACGGCCATTACCTAGAAAAGGGCCTGACGCATAGTTGGCCCTTAAAAAAAATATATTTTTTTGTCTGAATAAATAAGTCACATATTTTTTTCAATACATTCTGTATAATTAACATTTAACACAGAGACAACGTTGAAACACATACGTAGTTTTGGTGCATTTGAACGCATTGTGTTTTAACGAGAAGGGGCTTGATTCTGTGTCGTTCTCTTTTCGTCGGAAGATCATCAACGTATTAATTTTGTTTCATAAGTGACTTTTAATATTAAGGGAATGAATATTCAAGCGGATTTACTGATTTAAATATTCACAACAGAATGAGAATGAAGGATATTATTGTATTTACATCTTTTACAAAAATTGTATTTTGTAATTGTATCATTGTGTTATTGTGTAATTGTATTATTGGGTTTACATTTTTACAAAAGATAGATTAAAACAATTGGTATATACCTTTAAGTGGCAGCAGGTAGGAGGTGTGTGGGCTGGGAGGAGGTGTCAGCACATCTGTGGGGCCGCTTGTTTCCCTTAAAAGACAATACACTAAGTACCCGCCCTTCAAGTTGAATGACACCTTTTTTTCAGGCTTTTCTAATTGTTAGAGGAAATGAGCATCCTTTTGAAACTTTTAACAAAGACTGTATGTTTCCACCAGCACAAAGGAACCCCTGGTTCATTTTCTGAATTGTTAAAAAAAAAAAAATTACTGGGTATTTTTGTTAATGGTTCTTTTTTGTTTCCCATTTTCAGAAATTGAAAAGGGAGGATGCGGGGACCCTGGGGTCCCTGCCTACGGGAAGCGGGCAGGCAGCAGCTTCCTGCACGGGGATACGCTCACGTTCGAATGCCAGGCAGCCTTCGAGCTGGTGGGGGAGCGGGTGATCACGTGCCAGCAGAACAACCAGTGGTCGGGCAACAAGCCCAGCTGTGTATGTGAGTACTGGGCCCGGGGCGAGGCGGAGCTGGGGGGGGCAGGGAGGTCATGGGGGGGATGAGGCCGGGCAACAGAGGCAGCTGGTGGGGGAGTGTTGTGTGGTGATGCCCTTCCTGACCCTGATAGTGTCGCACATGCACCCTGGGCAGTGAGCGTGCGCAGCAGCGGCTCGGGGTCCCCTGCAGAGCCGGGGGCTGCCCCCCGGCAGAGGGTCCCACCAACCAGCAACTAGCAGCGGCGCACCTCGAGGCGATGTAGAAGCAAGCGTTTGCTGTCAGTAAGCGTAGCCTGGCCTGGAACATGGAGGCAGCCTGGGGAGGAGCCCCGCAGGGTCCCCAGGCGGGGGTGGCCGAGCCGCGTGAGGCACACCCGCCCGAAGGCTGCGTCCAGGGCGCATCCCTCATGCACCCAACATCGGTGTGACTTTTCCTTCCTTACTAGTCATTACCCTTTGAATGTTAAAAAAATAATAAACGACTTGAAATTGCTCCTGCAACACTGAGGTGCTGCTCACGTCGGTGTTTGCTCATGGGCCGCAGCGGTCAGCAGGCCCCCAGCAGCTGCCCCGGGTGCAGGGTGGTCACAGGCTATCGCCGACCAGGCGGCCCTGGACCGCCCATGGGCTCCCTGTGGGCTCCCCGTGGGCTGCCCGTGGGCCCCAGGCATGGTGTGCACCGGGCAGTCCTCCCTGGGGAGGGTCGGGCTTGCGGGACAGACCCCAGTCACCCCGGTCGCCCGGCGGCCGGGCTCTGCAGCTGTGGCTCGCCCTCGGGCCCAGTGTGGCTTTCGTGGGCCCCGCGTGGCACGTGTGCAAAGCCGCCTGAAAGCGGGTGTGTGTCCTCGCAGTTTCGTGTTTCTTCAACTTCACGGCGTCATCAGGGATTATCCTGTCCCCCAACTACCCCGAGGAGTACGGCAACAACATGAACTGCGTGTGGCTCATCATCTCCGAGCCGGGCAGCAGGATCCACCTCATCTTCAACGACTTCGACGTGGAGCCACAGTTCGACTTCCTCGCCGTCAAGGACGATGGTGCCTCCGACGTCGCGGTCCTGGGCACCTTCTCGGGCCACGAGGTCCCCTCCCAGCTGGCCAGCAGCGGCCACGTCGTGCGCCTGGAGTTCCAATCCGACCACTCCACCACCGGCCGCGGCTTCAACATCACGTACACCAGTAAGCAGCCGCCCGGCCCGGGCCCCCACCCGCAGCAGCTCCGCGCCCCTCACCCGGGCTGCTGGCCTGCCCTGACCGGGCAGCCCGGGGCCTCCCTGCCCCCGCTTTCCCTTTCCCCTTCCTTCCCCCCTCCCTCCCTCCCTCCATCCCTTCTCCTCTCCCTCCCTCCCTGCCTCCCCCATCCACCCACACGTCCCCCACACAACAAAGCAGTGCAGTAAAAAGCACGAGGCCCGAGAGGCCTGGAGCCACGGCTTAGAACACGGGCACTTGCAGGCAATTACTGAGTTTTGGGAAGAGGCCTGTCTTCCCTTGGTCTCCGGGTCCTCCTTTGCAAACCAGAGTGTATTTCAGAATATCTACTTAAATGCATCGTTAAGGGAATGAAATAAGGCGAGGATGTTAAGCGAGTTATAGATCCTGGTTTACGGGCCGCCTCCTCCGCTTAGACGCGGTGCTCAGCAGTTGCCAGTAATTGTCTCATTTAACGTCATAGTGACGCTGGGATACGGGCTCGACTTGCTCATCTGTAGCTCAGGGTATCTAATCAGGTCATCAGAGAGTCTAACCCAGATGTGTCAGAACCAAAATCCTTTCCAGCACCTTCCATACTTTTCAACGTTTGTAGTGTGAAGGTGCTTTCAAACCGTGAAATGTAGTATAGATTATATTTATCCATATTCATCCATCTATTCTTTCTCTGTCTTACGAGACCCCAATATCGTATTCCTTTAACGCATTTATTTATCGATCTGTAAATGTATAACTGAAACTTAGAACAATAAATCGCTTTGTTAGTAGGTCTTTGTTCCTTTCTTTTCAAACATGCACACTTACTATTTAAGTATTTTCTTTCTTTTATTTTTTTTTTCCTCTTTTAGCATTTGGTCAGAATGAATGCCATGACCCTGGCATTCCCATCAACGGACGGCGTTTTGGTGACAGATTTCTACTTGGGAGTTCCGTTTCTTTCCACTGTGATGATGGCTTTGTCAAAACCCAGGGGTCGGAGTCCATCACGTGCATCCTGCAGGACGGAAATGTCGTCTGGAGCTCCACCGTCCCTCGCTGTGAAGGTGCGGCTCTGCTCTCCTTTGCCGGTTATTTTCCTTTCAAATACTTGGTCAACCTTAACCAAACCTAACAAAAACCACGTTGGCTTCCTAGGGCTCCTAGCACAAAGTGCCGCAGACCCGGGGGCTCAACAGCAAACAGGTAGCGTCTCCCGTCCTGGAGGCCGGGAGCCCCCGAGCAGGTGTCAGCAGGGCCGGGCCCAGGCCTCCCTCGGCCGCCGGCAGCTCCGGCTCAGCTTTCTCCACCGGCGAGCATCTCGGTTTCTGGATTTCTCCTCTTTCTAATGACACCAGTCACAGTAGATTAGGGCCTTGCTAATAATTCATCTTCGCTAATTCCACCTCCAAGGATCCTCTTTCCAAATAAGAGCACATCCTCAGGGGCTGGGATTAAAAATCCAAAATATGAATTTTGGGGGCACATACTTCAACCTAGAGCAACAGCGTGGTTTTTAGCAGCTGTGCCATCCTATGGCCCTTAATGTGGCCAATATAAATGCTGCCTAATTTTCTTCTCGACATTTCTATTCTGGTTAACTATGGGAGAAAGCCGAGGGGGAGGTGGGCACAGCAGAAGGACCATGTTACCCCTGATGTCTACCCAGATGAAAAATGCTCACGTACAATCATATTCACAGCCTGTCAAAATGTCCCATGCCAACTGAGCTACAAGAAGTTTTTGTGAAAGACGTATCTCAAAAAAAAAAAAAAAAAGACATATATTCAGTACAAGAAATACGTTTTTAAAGACTCTTTTTAAAGAGTAATTTTTAGGTTCACAGCAAAACCGAACGGGAGATGCAGAGATTTCCCACATGCCCGCTGCCACCACACAGGCATAGCCTCCCCACTACCCACGTCCCTCCCAGATGGTCCATTTGTGCTGAGAACCCACAGTGACACACCATTATCACCCCGAGCCCACAGTCACACCATAGGCCCCTCTTGGCTCTGTCCATTCTGTGGGTTTGCACAATGTGATGCCACGTATCCATCATTGTGGTGTCGCGGCGCGGTCTCCCTGCTAAGCACCCCCTGTGCTCCCTCGTTCCCCACTCCCCCAGCACCCAGCCCCTGGCAACCACTGATCTCTCCACTATCTCTACATCTTGGCCTCTCCAGAATGTCACACAATTACTGTCACCTAGTATGTAGCCTTTTCAAATGGGCCCAAAATCACAAATTTCAATGCAAAGCTAAAGTGCCATCTTCGTCTATCAGATGGGCAAAGATTTGGAACATTAATAAGATGTATTTATTGTTGGCAGGGTTGAGGAATCCCTGACATTTTCTGGCCTTGCTACTGAGGGTATAAAACTATGGCATCATCGTGTAAATTCACATTAAGGCTCTTAAAATTCTTCTTACTTTTTGAGCTATCAGTTGTATTTCCAGTTGTAAGGACATATGCAAGCAACTCTGAAAATATGTCTTTTTTTTTCCAAAAATGCTTTTTACAGTGTTAACTATAACAACCAAAGGCACAAACAATTCAAATTTAAACAACAGAGAATCCCATTTAGATACATCGTCACACATCCATACCTGGGTGTGTCGTCCGCAACGATTATAACATCGAATATGGTCGTCATAGACCGTCTTGTGAAAGACCAGATACCATGACCACCTTGTTGTAATAGGTCACTTTTGAAAATGTATGAATATTTAAGTATCTCATGATAATAATGGTTTTAAGAGCCTGAAAAAGAGAATATGCACCAAAATGTTAATCACAGTTATGGGTGTTTTTTTTTTGTTATTATTATTCATGAAAGACACAGAGAGAGGTGGAGAAACAGGCAGAGGGAGAAGCAGGCTCCACGCAGGGACTCGATCCCGGGACTCCAGGGTCACGCCCCGAGCAGAAGGCAGAGGCTCAACCACCGAGCCACCCGGGCGTCCCTATGGGTGATTTTTTGCCCGTTGCTTACTTTTTGTTTTCTCAGTTGTCTTCAGTCAATAAGGGTTTATTTTACAATAAGTAAATTTGAAAGAAATAATGTGTCAGGTGCAAGCTAGAGTTGAAGGTCACTCTCCTGTCTGGAATGATAGACCTAGTGTCAGCACGCAGGCAGTCCGAGCAGAACCAGATCTAACCGTGGAAGAACTAGCTCCCTAGCTAGGCAGCCGGCAGCGTGGAGGAGTGGGCTCCTGCCTCATGACCCCCTCCCTCCGCCCCGCTGCCGGAGTCAGCATCGTTAACCTGAGGATCAGGATTCTGGTAAAGCTCCAGAAAGGCGTCCTCGCTTCCACCCTTCCATCAGGCGCTCTGTGTGGCGGACGATTTGCACCACTCAGGGGCAGAAAATTGATAAATTAAAGGACAAGGATATGATAGAAGGATTTCCATCCTTATCTGTTTTTAATCACAGTTTAAATGTACAGCTTTTATTTTATTATTTTTTAAAGATTTTATTTATTTATTTATTTATTTATTTATTTATTTATTTATTTATTTATTCATGAGAGACACAGAGAGAGGCAGAGACACAGGCAGAGGGAGAAGCAGACTCCATGCTGGGAGCCCGACGTGGGACTCGATCCGGGGACCCATGGTCACGCCCTGGGGCGAAGGCAGCGCTAACTGCTGAGCCACCGGGCTGCCCTAATGTACAGCTTTTAAATACTCTATTGTATCTAGTGCTAATAAGTAAGTAGGTAATTCCCTTTTCTAAATAAGCAAACGTACACTCATGGGTGCTCTGACGGTGCTAGTACCAGTGCCTGTGTGAACGTGTTTGCTGGTCCTGCTCCACTCAAGCAGGTCACCATTGGCTGTGAAGCAGGAATAATTTCACAGGAAAGAAGAAAAAAAAAAAAAAAAGACAAGTCAGTGCTTCCTAGGGTCTGCTCTCTCCTGGCCATGATTCTCCCTGCCGTGGGCGTGCTTCGCTATAAAAGGCCTTATACAGGCCTGCTACAAGCTGTAGGGCAAGGACGCTCCTTGGCAGCCAGGGGAGATGGACGGGGCTCTCCTCGGGCAGTGATGTTCCCGATAAAGTCAGATGGAAAGAGAAAGAATCCTGCTAAATGTGAACGGACCATTCTCTCATTATTGGGATGAGACCTTCAGAGAAGTTCAATCAGAACTCAGCCGCGGGCTGTTCACACAGAGGACTAGTTAATGGTGAGAGAGATTTTCTTTTTTAATTTACTCATAGTGAGAAACCCAGTCGTGGGTCCCAGTGAATCTCAGAGAGCGTACGCAGGTACCCTGATGATACAACTAAGCCGATACCCCAATCAGCGTCCTTGCTGAAGAGAAGTAGAAATGCGACTTTCAGAATCAAGTGGATCTAGTTGGTAAAAAAAAAAAAAAAAAAAAAAATCAGATGGGAAATGAAAGATTCAGTAGCACAAACTCATTTAGTTGAAAGACATGGAAGGAACCTCAAGTTCCTTAGAGAATATGCTCATTTATTGTTCTGCTCAAGTATCACTTGTCATAATCAGTTCTATAATTGATCATGAGGTCTAGGCCACACAAGCTGCTCATACACTGGTTACGGTGGAAACGTGTGATACCGATAAAACTGCAAATACTCTAAGGAAACTGTGTGGGAAAGCCTCAGGCCGCACGGCATATGCTGCCCAGAAACCGTGTCAATGGGAAACCTTCCTATTATGATAACGTGAGACAAGGAGCCTGGGCTAGGACACAGATGCCCCAGTATTGCACAAAAAAGACAAAAAAGCAAAGGAACTTATTTTTGATCTTAACACGTTAGAAAAAAATTGGAATGGACATTCATAAAAATCAAATATTTGAAAGAATGTAAGTGTGGATTCTTTTTTTTTTAATTTTTTTTTGTAAGTGTGGATTCTTTGCTTTTATCAAAAAAATAGACAAAGCTTCTACGAGTCTGATCAGAGAATTAGGAGACAAGACAATTTTAGGAATTTAGCAAAATAGAAGAAAACATGACTACAAAAATAATAATTCAACATAATAATAAAACAATAAGTCGTTCTTACTAATAATAACTTCACATAAAGAGCGAAAGGCTAAAAAAAATAAAAAGAGCGAAAGACTCACAATAAAGCAATTTCCTAAAAAAATCATGTTTATTTATTGTAGCAGAATTTACTGGATGCAGCACATCGTGGGTATAAATTGGCCTCGGGGTGAGAGATTTATGTCTGTTTATTTGTTCTGCCTCTGGCCTGCCCATGGGTTTCAGTACGGCTCATTGTCACTAAAAATACAAGTTAACTTTGGGGGAAAACAGGGGCAGCAGAATACATCGTCGAGCCTAGGGCAGCCAATGTTCACGTTCCATGAAATTGGTGGATTCCTAATAAAACATAAATTACTCAAAATGACTCAAGTAAAAAGTGCAAAATGTCAATAAACAAAATACCTAAAGAGATATTTAAAAAAAAAAAAAAAAGAAAGAAAAAGAGAAAACAGTTTGAAGATTGAACACTGAAAGCCCCAAGCCGCACAGAGGTGCACGGGGACGCTCCTGGGGGGTGCAGGGCTGGGCTGACCCCACTTACCTGACGCAGCCGGAGGTGGCACGGCACCCCTGGGTCCCAGCTGCAGACACAGCTGTGGGGCAGCTCGGCCACGAGTCCCCCGTGGGCCGGGGGGGGCCCCGACGGGCAGGAATCCACTCCAGACACGGCTGCTTTCTTGTCCCCCAGGGCTTGACAAAGTCGGGGTCGGGGTCGGGGTCAGGCCAGCTCAGAGCCAGTGGAGCTGACGCTTCCCGCAGGTGATGCTCCTTCTTCCTTACGGTTCCCCTGTACGTCAGCCACCAGGGGTGCCTTACAGATCCCTCCTCAGATGGTTTTCTCCAGCCTCAAAACCTGGGTTGAGATGCAGCACAGTTTTTCAACATTTTAATTCATCGGCAATTTTCCATGAAAGCCATATTTTTCCAAGAATATATTTATTTTTTTTAACTGGGGACATTACATTTTTGGATATTTGTTGATTTACAAATTTGATGGCAAAGACGGCAAAGGACTTTGCAAAGAAAAATCTGAAAAAAAAAAGGGGGCTGGACAGAAACATGTTCAATATATGTTATTATTGTAGGACTCCTATAGGGTATACAAACGTGCAAAACCCATTTTTCCCGAGTGGCACGTGCATACCTCCCCGGAAACTCCCCTTTACGATCCTGGGGCATTGGTGAGGCCGGATGCGGGTTAACCCCGTGTCTATCCAGTCTGAAAACTTTGCTTTGTTCCATAACATTCACTAATGAGCTAGTATGATGTTGGGGGCAAGTCATTTTAGTAAAACAAATGTAACGTAAACGGGATAAGCTCAAGACACGTCATTAAAATATTGCATCTGTGTCTCACACACACGGTATTTCTGTTTTGCCTGCAAAGTGATTTTGTCTGCTGGCCCAGAGATACTCGAGGAGTTACAAGTACCTATAAAACAGGACTCTCAATCGGAGGTTCCTCCTGAATTTGTCGCGACGACTGCATGTGACGGTCCGCGGAAGCCGTTTCTGGCCCTCTCATGCGTGAGGCTTTCAGACCACGGGCACCTGGCCGCGGGTGGATGCCAACTGCCCGGCTGCGGGCCGGACGTGCTCCGCTTCCGTGGGTGCAGTTGACGTGGGGTTCGCCCGGCGGGAACCCTGGAGGTGGACGGCCCGTGGTGGCCGAGCTGTCCCCACGGGGCTGGGGCCCGCTGACCGCCGCGCTCTCTTTCAGCCCCGTGCGGTGGACACCTGACAGCCGCCAGTGGACTCATCCTGCCCCCCGGGTGGCCCGGGTATTACAAAGATTCTTTAAATTGTGAATGGATCATCGAAGCAAAACCGGGACACTCCATCAAAATAACTTTCGACAGGTAAGAAAAAAACCCTTGTCTTCCTGAACGTGGGCCTCACACCCGATGTGTGTCTGGGGGTGTCACCAAAACGGATCCTGAAACTTAGAAACGCAACCGTTTGGGTTGGTTCTGCCAGAGGAGCTCACGGAGCGGAATAGGCGTCTGCGTGGTGGCCTTTGTCCTCGAGCTTCGCCATCCAAGGCCACAGCCGGTGCCGGGGCGCAACGGTCCCAGACCATCATTCCTCAGCGCCCGTGACTCTGGGCTGTGTCCAGCTCTGGGGTTTGGACCTGGGCCTAACCTACCCTCTGCTTCTAGTGTCCAGAAACCATCTACGCCGCTTAAAAAGGCACAGAAAAAAAAATTTTCCCCAGAAAAGTATTTAAAGTCTCCCCATGTATTTTGAATTACTGTCTCGCTTTGAGCGACCGTTCCTCTCCGTGTGCGCATCTCAAGGCGTCCACAGCCGTGCGCAACCGCGGCTCACGGAACAGTTGAACGAGCCTCATAATTGTCCACTAATCAGTGTTTCTTAATTGAGCTCTTTTGTTTCTTTCTTTTCCTTCCCACCTTCCTTCTATCTTTTCTTCACGTCTCCAACACTCATCTAGCTCACGATTTTTTTTTTTAATCACTATTATCTGGGAGCTAAGGACTGCCACGTTTTGGCCCCGGGGGTGTTACACGGCTGAGCCCTCAGCGCACTGGAGGGCGCAGGGCGTACTGTCTCTCCTAGAAAACTGCTCCGGGCTTCCACGTCCTATGTGCCCAGTTTCATGGTGTTTCTTAAGTCCATGTGGGTCCAAATCCCTGATTCCCGGCGCTACCCGTGGGGGGTGGGGGGCAGCAGATGAGCGGAAGCAGGGGGGAGGCCGGGCTGTTGGCGCCGCTGAGCCTTTCTGACCGGGCCGGGCCTCCGCAGGTTTCAGACCGAGGTCAACTACGACACCCTGGAGGTCCGCGACGGCCCGGCCAGCTCGTCGCCGCTCATCGGGGAGTACCACGGCACGCAGGCGCCACAGTTCCTCATCAGCACGGGCCACTTCATGTACCTGCTGTTCACCACCGACAACAGCCGCTCCAGCGTCGGCTTCCTCATCCACTACGAGAGTAAGTCGCCCAGGCCCGCGGCCCCAGCCCGTGCCCACGAGCCACGCGGTGTCCTCTCCAACCCATGGCACCTGGTGGGGGCTTACTTAACACTCCCCAAACGTACCTCTTCGTTTATTGTAGAATTTAATGATTCAACAGTAGGTTCCTTCTCTACACGATGTGACAACAAATTTCTACCGTTAGAAATACATCTCCTGGCCATGAGGCCATCGCCGCGTGCTGGCTCCTGAATGGTGGCCACGGGGAAAGATCCATCGCCTTTTCTTTTCTTTCTTTCTTTTTAAAAGATTTTATTTATTTATTTATTCATGAGACACACAGAGAGGCAGAGACCCAGGCAGAGGGAGAAGCAAGCTCCATGCAGGGAGCCTGATGGGGGACTCGATCCCGGGACCCCAGGATCACGCCCTGAGCCAGGGGCAGGCGCTCAACCGCTGAGCCACCCGGGCATCCCTATCCATCTATTTCTTGCTGGAGAAATATGGTTAGGGCCATCGCGGTGCTTGTCTGCTGTTCCAGGGAGCACGTGTCCCCAGGGAGAGGACATGGGACCCAGACCAGAGAAGGAGTCAAGGCGCAGCTGCACCTCACCGAATGACACGCAGCTGTGTCCCTTAACAAGTGCGAAGGAGAGTGCAAGTGACAGCTGGAAACACGGGAACAATAGCTGAGCTCCGACCATGCAGGGAATCTGGCCCTCGGGTCACAGGGGTCCCCGTTCTGTCTCCATAAATACAAACTTCAGTCTTGGCCTTAGCCTCTGAAGTCAGGAGATCAGGTCACTACGGTACTTCACGGTTATACATCTGCAGCCATCCTTCTGCAGTACAGGTGACGGGGCCGCCCTGGGACAGCGTTGTGACACCCGCCACCCAGACATTATTTCCTCTGTTTCAAAACGCTTCACTTTCAGAGTAAAATTAAGAGGATGGATGGATCCAGGCTCACACCAGGTCTCAGGGAATAAAACCCTATTTTTCAAGATTTTTATGGTTGTTCTTCACAGTCTTACCCCAAAACAAACAAAATGAAGTTTTAATATTATTAGTATTAGTATATTAATGCTATTAGTACTAAATACTAATCCTAATACTAAATATTATTATTAATATTTAATATTATTTAAACACACACACACATATATATACACATTTTTAATTTATATCTATTTATTTACCTATACCCACAATACAATTTTACAGATCCTCATGAATGGGGTCAGAACTAATATGCTGGATGTTTAATCATCTTTTTTTTTCTTTTTCTCTCCTTCCAGTCCAAACATCGCCTCTGGCTACTCTTGTCCATTGTGGTGCAGACCCCACTCAGCCACTCAGATTAATAACCTGTTAACAGATATTTCTGTTTCACCTGCTCATGTGTGGGCTTACATGCAAACAGGCACATGCAAACACATGTGTGCAAGGCTACGTGTGCGTCTTGAAAAAAAACAGGTCATGTTACACTTGTTTTCATATCAAGGAAACTGACTACTCATGATTCACGAAGTTCAAATTGAATTCGGTTAGTTTCACTTTGTAGACGTGCGGCATTTATTTCAAAGGAACGTATTTTTTAAACTCAGGGTAGAATTAGAGAACCAGGAAGTTTCCTATTTCAGTCCTTTTTAACTGCCCTTCAAGTCCTGACTTTTCTTTGGACTAAAGAGACGAGCACATGATAACTATCCGGATTTGCAAATCTAAGCAGGACGCCCAAAGCGCTGTAGTGTCTGTAGTGTCTCACCCCCATCTCTTCAGTCTGGAACTGCTGGGCCTTTGAATACACAGTCAGACGCAGCTTAAGAGAACCCATATTTTCCGATCCTAAAAATATGAGAAGTTTGACATTCTTTCCTTTCCTGTCTCTCATCTGTATAGTGTACATTGTTTTGCCTATTTTTATCTTTTTTTTTTTTTTTTTTAGTGTCCTTTAAAGAAATGTGTCCTAAAGCCTAAATGCAGGTCCTAGAGACTGATTGCATTTACTCACCTAGCTCGTTTAAAGAAATGGGTCATTCTTCCTCATTCTCTCTGGAATTCAAAGAATGATAGAAAGGCCACAGTTTCCCACTTGCCTTGTCATCCTTACTAACAGGACGTTGTATGCACATAGTTATAACAGGAGTTTTGTGATCTTCAAAGCATGGCCACGCGGTCTGAGGATTGTTTCCATGTCCCTGTGTTTGACAGTAGGCCTGAGCCTTGGGGGCGTGTGCGTGTGGCCTGCCGTGACCTGCCTTTGCTTCCTTCTGTTGAGGGATCAGTAGGAGAAGATGAAAGTAATCACCCAGATGGCCCCATTAGCAGAGCAGTGGTAACTGTGGGTGTCTGACACTTGTGATCCCTTGGGGTCTAGGATCCTCCCCTTCCTGATTGAAAAGGGGAGCATGCTGCGAGCTCTGTAGTCACGGGATAGGAGGGCCCTGGCTGCTGGCTAAGGTGGGTCAGGTCCCCATGGCATCCCGCTGCCAAGGTGCCTAGAGGGGACACGGGGCGGGCGCCATTGGGGCTCAGCACTGGAGCACCTGCCTTCAGCCCAGGGTGTGCCCCGGGGTCCCGGGATCGGGCCTGCTGCTCCCTCCGCCTGGGTCTCTGTCTCTCTCTGTGTCTCTCACATAAAATCTTAAAGAAAAAAGAAGGGGCAGGGATCTAAACCCCATACCGCCTTCTGCCCGGGGAACCCCGAGTGGTCCTTTGAGGAGCCCCCAGCATGCTTGTGAAGGCCTCTGAAGGGAAGGGCGGAAAGTATATTAGGAAAATATTGCCTGGTAGCACATTGAAGCTTGACTGGTTATCGTCGCAATTATTAATCAGTTACACTGCTTTGGGGGAGAAACAAGGACATGTGCAAAACCAGATGAGATGGGGGACACGGCTTAGGTGTCAGGAGGTGAGACGGGAAGGTACTGGGGCTGCGACCCAAGTCTGTGGGCTGGCCCGAGCATGCCTGCCACCTGCCACTGCGCACCAGGTGTTGCTGCTGCTGCTCCTGTGGCTGCAGGGAGGCCGAGGACCCTCAGGAGCCCTGGAACCAAGCCAGACAGGGATCCCTGGTGGGAAACCATCCTGAAGGGGCACGTCACCAGCATTGGTGCTCCCCTGGGGCCCGATGGGAGTGGAGGCCCCTTGGGGCAGCTCAGAGCTGGGGACACCTGGTGGGTGTGCAGGGGGGTGACTGGAGGGGACAGTGGGGCCAGACTCAGCTCGGTTGGCCAGGGGGAGAGGAGGCCCCAGATGAGGAGGAGGACGGCAGGGCCCACAGAGGGAGGAGGACGGCGGGGATCACAGAGGAAGGTGGATGGCAGGGCCCACATGGGAGGGCCAGGTAGAGCCACGTCCTCCAGGCAGATGGGCAGGGAGGTGGGCCAGGGGCACCTGCATATGGAAGAATGAAGAGCAGTTAGTGCTGCAGACTGAACAGCAGGAGGAGAAACCAGAGGCAGACACATTTCCCACCCCATGAAGTCCTGACCCTCCAGTAGGCTTTGCAGAGGTGTGTTCAGAAGCCAGGATGGATGCGGGGAGAACAATCGCAGTTGCGCATCCAACACTTTTTTTAAAAAGTAGGCTCCCTGTGACCCAGATGATTTATATCAAATTATTTATGCCTTTTATAATGAATAATATGTCTCATCCCCCTTTCTTATTTTGTCATAAATTTTTGACACCATAAACCTTCCTTGGTAACTTTTAAAAAACTTCCTTGGTAACTTTAAAAAAAAAAAAACAACTTAAGAAAAAAAGTTATTCACGATCCCACTAGATGCCCTAACATACAGCTTTGCAGAAACAGCCGCACTCTATTCAAGGCTGACGTTGTTGTGCAGAGCTGCCATAAGGTACTGGGAGCTACCATAAACAGCACTAATTTCCACTCTTTTTTGAGTCGTAAGGCAGGACTGAAGTCGTTTCTTCAAGGTTTTCCTAAGAGCTTACCTAGAGTTGTGGTTGGGCTCTGTGTGCTCAGTCTCAGCAATCACAGATCTTGTAAGTACAGTGTCCAACTCCAGTCTGTCCTTTTATTACTTCATGAGGAATGTGATGCAGCCCTTCTCCATCATAGTCACTGTAGCAGCCCCCACAGAATAATCGCATCCTCGCTGTGTCTGTTTGTAGGGCTTTGAGCCACCCCTTTAAGAAGCGTGATGTTATAGGAAACTGGAAAATTAATGGATGTCTCAGGTAATGGGTGCTTTCCATTTAATTTTAGGGCATTTTTTGGAAATACTTTCAGAAGAATGTTTTAAAAAATATTTCAAACAACAAGCAGACCTCGCCTCATGTCTATCTATATAATTTATACATTGTGCAATTTCTTAAAATTGTGAAAGGCAAAGAAGTATGTTTTCCAGGGTGTGTGTGTGTGTGTGTGTGTGTGCAGATTAGTTTCTGAAATTTAATGACTTTTATTAAGATCAGAATGAAAAACTGAGCGGGATGTAATGGATAGAGGTGCCATGCAGATGGAAAATTGGACACGTTGTGGTCACAGGTGTACAGACGCAGAAGACCAGGGAGAGGGGCGCTTGGTGGCCAAGTAGGTTGAGCATCTGCCTTCAGCTCAGGTCATGATCTCAGGGTCCTGGGATCCAGTCCCTCGTCCCTGCTCAGCTTCTCCGTGTCCCTCTGCCCCTCTCCTGCCTCATGTACACTCTCTCAGATAAATGAATAAAATCCTAAATAAGAAGAAGGAGAGGGAGAAAGCAGACTAAGGCTTAGATGTGGATCTGTGAATAATTTAGCATGACCAGTTGAGTTAATTTCTTGGCTTATTTCCTCCTCTGTAAAATGGGATTGTCACTGTTATTTCAAACCCACCTTTGCGAGATACTCAGAATATCCATCCCCTCCTTGGACTAGAACTTGTATAAAAACAGAGAGGTAAGCAGAATTTTACTTCTATCAACATATGTCAATACAATCTGCACATGGATAGCTTCAAAGTCATCAACTTCTTTGATTCATGGACAGATTTGTTCCATCACTCATGTGACAGGCCAGGGGACAAGGAGCGTATTTATGTCACCCGTGTCAAAACGTGCATCGTTGCCTTAAGTTTCAAGGAGGAAACAGTTGGGACAGGATCAACTAGTATTCAGAGTCTCAACAAAATCTACCGATGCCAGTATGTCTTTGTATTGTGAGAGCTGGATGCAGAAAACGCTCAAAACCATGCTCTAGAACATTCCTCCTTCAAAGTACAGTGGCTTCCTGTCCTCACAGAGTCGCTTGTCATTGGAAGGGTCTCGTCCTATTGGGCCACACGGCCTACGTTGTGCTGTGTTCTCCCTGCATATGGTGTGTTTCAGGTGAATTGGCCAACAACTCACTTCTAATCCTACCACTCGACAGTCATCCTGCCTGTATATCCATTCAGATGCATTTTAATGCAAAGGGCAATGACTGCACACTTCACAACCTCATGTTTTTGTCCATTATTTTGTAAAAATAGATGAACGAACGAATGGATGAATGAATAAATAATGGAATAATTTTATGGCTTCAACAACATATTTACCTTTTAGTTCACTTTTACATGTAAGAAATACCACATTTGTGTTTTATTTATTTATTTATTTATTTATTTATTTACTTATTTATGCACATTTGTGTTTTCTATGCTTTGGTTTCTTCTGATTTTTTTTCCTTCCCTACAAATTTTTTGTGGGGAAAAGTTTACTTACAATTTACAAATTTTGTTATGAATGTTATTCATTAATATATTATTCTCACATCGCCTAAAATGATAATTCTTATCATTTTTGTCTGCTGCAGTAAGTAGATTGTTGTTTAGTGACCATTGGAAACCATTTGACAAAGTAGAACAAAATACTTAGCTGGTTTGTCAGGCACCTGGGAACCACTCCATTTCTTAGGCAAAGCTTCCTTGGAGGGCATTCTTGTGTTACTCTTGTCACTACAAAATCTATCAGCCAGCAGCATGTACACATCCTGTGCAGGGTGTGCACTATACGTAATCTCTAAAGTGTCATGGGAGAGGTCACAAACATTGCCTGGATATGAATGTGTGTGGAGGAAGAAACAGAGAGCTGCAGACGGGTGATGGGTTTGGGGACTAATGATGCCCACCTTCCTTGTGGCAGATCCGACCTCGTGCAGGAATGGAAAGCGTGCCTATATTTGCCTCCACACTTGGCAAGAAGTCATGACAGTTACATCCTGGTCTCTAGGCAATAGGCACATCTTTTTTTTTTTTTTTTTTTTTTTTTTTTTTTTTTTTTTAGGAAATTAGCTGAAGTGTTTAAGAAAAAATTCTTGGGGGATCCCTGGGTGGCGCAGCGGTTTGGTGCCTGCCTTTGGCCCAGGGCGCGATCCTGGAGACCTGGGATCGAATCCCACATCGGGCTCCCGGTGCATGGAGCCTGCTTCTCCCTCTGCCTGCTCGCTCTCTCTCTCGCCTCTCCTCTCTCTCTCTCGTGGAACTATCATAAATAAATAAAAATTAAAAAAAATAAACTTTAAAAAAAAAAGAAAAAATTCTTGGGAAAAAATGGTGATATATATATATATTTTTTTTCATATTGCTTTTTCTCTTCATTGTTTTATTTATTTTTTTTTCCTTTGGAAACCTTCACTGTGATAGAGTCTTCCATTTTTTACCAGACTCTGAAGATAACCAGACTCTGAAGATAAGCACACAGATTTGCAAAGGGCAACATCTGCTTATTTTGCAAACCATGAAACCAACTGCCAGTTCAGGGTGTTTCCCTAAATGACCTCAGTTCCAATAATTGGATAGAAGGACTTAGCACTTACTGAAAGTTCACGGTCACATTCATTATGGGACAGGACCCAAATTAGACCAGTGGGGGGAAGAGACACAAAGGCGGAATCTGGAGAAGAGCTTCCTGCCTGCAGATTCTGGTTGTGAAGGAGTCGTGAATGGTGTCACCTCCTCCTAGCCACGACATGTGACAGCATGCACAGTCCTGCTAACCCAGGAAGCTCATGGAGCATTCGTGTCCAGAGACTTTATTGGTGTTTCACTACAGAGGCATCACTAATGGAATCGTTGACCACGTGGTTGAGCTCGGTCTTCAGCCGACCCTTCCTTGTAGGGTAACCTGAAGTCCCGTTAGCTCAGGGTCACACCATGAACAACAAAGACACTCTGAGCAAAGAAACCCAGTAGGTTTACATGTGACCTCTTAGGAGCTGGACTTCTCTGGGAAAGCACATTCTTCACTACCTATTTTTTTTTTCCAGTAGTGGCTTAGCTGTCCTGCTTGTGATATGGTGCCTATGGAAACACTTTGGTTATAATAATGAAGAAATATTGTCACTTAATGTTTATTTTAAAAAGTCACCCCTTAGTTGTATATCCTGCATTTGACTTAATGGGAGAGGGCATGAGGTAAGGTACATTACTCAAACTTTGGTAAAATCTATGCAATGATCAAAAATGTTATCCCAGAGATCTAAATAAGATCTTTGGGGACTAAGCAGTCTGAATATTGGTAATGATTTCAGATTTTTGACTAATAGCCCAAGTCATAATTGGTTGTTCTGAGCTTTATTGAGAGAGTTGTGTATAGCTATGGCAAAGTCTTTTTTATATTTCTTTGTTTTTTTAAATGCATTTTTTATTGGAGTTCAATTTGCCAACATATAGCATAACACCCAGTGCTCATTCCATCAAGTGCCCCCCTCAGGGCCCGTCACCCAGTCACCCCCTGCCCACCTCCCTTTCCACCACCCCTAGTTCGTTTCCCAGAGTTAGGAGTCTCTCATGTTCTGTTTCCCTCCCTGATATTTCCCACTCATTTTTTCTCCTTTCCCCTTTATTCCCTTTCACTAATTTTTATATTCCCCAAATGAATGAGACCATATAATGTTTGTCCTTCTCCGATTGACTTCTTTCACTCAGCATAATACCCTCCAGTTCCATCCACGTATTTCTTTGAATACATAAACATCACCATGACATCTTCTTCCCCTATTCTGACTTTCCTTATATCTCCAAATGTATATTCTAAAAATAAAGAGAAATCTCAGAGACAGAGAAAAGAAACTCTTATAATGACATGATCATAATTACTTGACTTTTTATAGTACTATACTTTTTAGCATCTTTTAGCATAGGCTAATTGTAGCCATCCCGAAAGTGGCTGACTTAAGAGCAAATTTGGAAAAAAAAATGCATGGATGTATAGAATGCAATTTTAGAAAATCAAATCCAGTGCAGTTTTAACTTGCATTATATGTGTACGGACTTGGGCGCATGTGTGCATGTCTATGAAAGTTGAAGTGTGAGTGCCAAAATCCATCTGGAACATAAAATGTAATGAGAAGAGTGAGTGGAGCGCTAGAGATAAAAAGCAGGAAAATACAGCCTTCATTTAATACAATTCATTGGTTTTCAGACTCTTAAGAGAAAAGTAAAATTCACATATCAAGGCATTATTCAAGTTTGTACTGATTACATGTCATCTGGTAAATAGTTAACAATGTACATCTCTCTACAGAAAAACAGTCAGATACGTGAAAATGTATTGGTTTTGTTTTTGGGTTTTGTTTTGTTTTACATTAAAGGATTGTTGGATTCACTTGAATAAATTCCCAGGTCGGATAATGTCTCAGAATATTTTATATGTATATGGGACAAATAATTTTTCTATAAACCAGAAGAATTCCATATGTAATGTACTTTTTTCTGCGCATGCAGGTGTGACTCTAGAGTCGGATTCCTGCCTTGACCCAGGAATCCCTGTGAATGGCCATCGGCATGGCAGCAATTTCGGCATCAGGTCTACGGTGACTTTCAGCTGTGACCCAGGCTACACACTCAGTGATGATGAGCCCCTTATCTGTGAGAGGAACCACCAGTGGAACCATGCATTGCCCAGCTGTGATGGTAGGTGGAGGTCCACGAAGCAGGGAACCATAAGGAAATGTAGAGATGTGGAAATAGACAAACTCTCTGGGTGGTGTATGTCGTATTTTACAGAGCAGTAGGATATGAAAAGTTGTACACCTTAAAAATATTTCCATCTAATGCTTGAAGTTTACCTAGCATATTTTTCTATGAGGTGGGGCCACTGTTTAGAATGCAACGCAAATAAACTATGGGCCAGCCTTCAACTTTGTCCCCAAACACGGAAACTTCCAGAGCTTAGTTATGCACACGTTCTTCCACTTGGCATTCGTTGAAAATAGCACGTGAAGCAGGGTACGGAGTATGTGTGTTCTACGTCGTCAGACCTGGCTTTCCTCTGAATCAGGTCCCAGCATCCAGCAACTGCCCGGAGGTCTGAGCTCCCACCTCTGGTGGACCGCTCTCCCTGGAGGACTGGGAAATACTTTCTCAGGAGATCCCCGAGTGGCTTCTTGGTTCTATCAGCCACTCCCCCTGCCCCACTCAGATCGGCTCTTGGAGGTCTCAAAGCAAACACCATTCTTGATGATCACGTGACTGTACCTCTCAACCTGACGCTATGCAGCGTATAGTCACTATGACCAGAGACACATATATGTTACTCATGTCCATTTGCAAACTAAGTAAGGGATTTGTCCTTTGACCATGAATATAACCATATTATAAAATTGTTTCCATGAAAAAAATAACATTTTCCCAATAATATTTTTTCAACAATGTTATAATGTGGTTGTTATTTATGGCTTACAGAGAACCCTAATGTTAATTTATCTATAGAAAACATCACATTTAATAGCAAACTGTTATAAAAAGTCCCATGAAAGTCAAGAACAGAACAACTTTCTCAGTATCAAAAATATTACTTTACATTATGCAGAAGGTCCTTTTTTAAATATTTTATTTAAATTCAACTTGCCAAAAATAAATAAATAAATAAATAAATAAATAAATAAATAAATAAATAATAAATTCAATTTGCCAACATAGAGTATAATACCCAGTGCTCATCTCATCATGTTATGTGGAAGATGCTGACTCATGCAATAATTTAAGAAAATGATATGAATTATAAATATTATAAAGAGAGGACACTCGGGTTTGGGCAGTGCTAGTAGAGCCTACATTCAGGATAAACCTAAATCAGTGGATTTCCACAAAGGATACGGCATATTAGAAGTATAATATCTATATACACAAAAACTTTCAGGAATACATCTAATAGGAGATAATGCAGGCTTATCTTTTTTTGAGGCTTATCTTAAAAGAATTTCGAAGTTCATGATAGAATATAAAATAATATCCTAATACATGGGAATACTTAGTACATTTCTAGATGGTGGGAATGAAATTTAAATATACAAATTTTCTACAAATAGAGTTTTAATTTCAATAAAGTCTAAAAATAATTTGTATTTTGAATATTAAGTCATAACATGTTAAAATTGATCTGGAAGATGAGGGCCTTCAATTAGAAATAAATATTTTCCAGAATGATAAGAAAGGAGTCTATCTGGGATCAAAGCATCCCCAAATTACCTTTAATTAAAATAACATGAAGTCGGTGCAAAAACACTCAGATTGGTGATGTTGTGTAGGGATTCCAGTAACAAACCAGCGCCTGTGCAGGAGCCTAATTTGTCAAAGTTATTCCAGATCCGTGAGGAGGGATGACTTGATTCATAAATGATGTTGGTCCACTTGGATATCTGGACACAATCAATGGAAAACAGTGACAGATTTCACTGGATGCAGATTAGAAGTTCTATGATTTAAGAAGCCAGAGGTAAAGTGTCCGCCTGCAGAGGATAATTGCTCAGCCTAAATGACACGATAAATGACTCTAAGTCATATTATCGTACAGATGGATAGAGGGGAACAGCGACACACACGAGACACCGGATCCGTGGGGAGAACACACGCGGGCTAGTCCAGAGGGAGACAGGAGGTCCGTCGGCACTTTGGGGTGTGTCCGCTGGGACGGGGACCCGGGAAAGGCACCTAAAACAGAGTAATTCCTCTCCCCTGCTGGGTTTACCAAAAAGTAGGAAGGTCTGTGGGATCACAGAGCTGCCTGTCTGTTCTGCGCTGTGGCTGCACCTTGAGAGGATGCACTCTTTTTGGAGCAAAGAGATACCGAGTCACAGGACAATGCGGGGTCATGTGTGAGCATTTGCATGTATGTAGCGATAGGCACGTTCCCAGTATTTTGTAAAACATGACTGAGAACCGTCTTTCTACCACGGAGACCCCAACACTCTCCCGTGCGGAGACTGGCAGGCTGTAGGGAGGGGAAACGGAGACTTTCCACTTTTATCTCTACATTTTTTCTGGCCTTAGGTGAATTTTTATCATCATGTTTTATTTTCGGAATTGGAACTCTGATAATGAGAAAAATATATAAAACTTACCCACCTGGTTAAATAAACAGTGTCAGAAGGATACTAGCTTCTGGACTCATTAAGATTTTGTAAAATCTGAGAGTATCCTAAATAGTATGCAAAAATACTTTATTTGTAGAATTCTTCATTGGCAATAATTGTAACGGGGACACTGAGTGTGATAAGGGTCCATCCCTCCAAGTCCTTAGCTGTCATTCATGCATAACTGAACATCAAAAATATTGATAAAATCACTTAATCCAAAGTTTGCAACAGGTTAATCATAAAAGTGATTTTATTGGGAGAGTTACCTGACAAGCAAACACATGACTTTACTGGGCGCCACTGTGCAAGTTTAATATCGTGTTTTTATTTGGGGGCTAAAGCTGAGAGTGGAGTTTGGAAGTGGAGCCTAGAGAAGCTGCTCCCTGGTTTCCATCCTCGTGTGGGGTGGCTCGGGCGAGCGGCTGCTAGCGCAGGGCCTCTCAAGTTCTGCTGACTTTTCCGGCAGAGCTGGGAAGACTGAAAGGCTGAGGGCTCTGATGGTGATCTGAACTCGGTGCTCAAGCGCCTGCTTCATTACAGCAAAGTACACGACAGCCGTCCAGTTAACTGGACTGGATCTGGTAAAGAAAACTGACATAAGCGAGGGAGACCTGCCCTGACCCGGCTGAGACCTGGGGTTCCCACTGTAAGCCGGAGCCTTCTCCCGAGAGAGCAGGGTCCTGGCCTGTACCCCTGATTCAGCGGTGCTCGGACGACTCCCGCCACTTCCCTCGTGGGATGGTCCCGTATCTGGCCCAGGCCGACAGCTGGGGCCGCCTCCTCCGTCCACGTCTTGCCCTCCTCGTCCCGAGGCAAAGCCAGGCAGGACTTGGCGCGCTGCATTGCCCCGCGCCCCTGCCCCAGGACCCGGAGACGCTGCACCTGGAATCACGCCAGGCCACTAGCATTATTGACCTTATAAACACCCGTTTCTCCGGATACGTGGGTCAGTCGTGGTCAGTTGCGGTCGGCTCCCCACAGCCCTCTGCAGTCTGCCGCAGCCCGTGGGGCTGCCGTGACCTGGTGCCAGGGCTAGGCGGCCTCTGAGCGACAGAGGCGTACTTCTCACTGTTCCGGATCATGGCCGTTGAGGTTGGAGGGACCTCATGATGGACTTGTCGTGAGACCCGTTCTAGGCTGCAGACGGCGTGTCGTCTCACGGTGGAAGGGCCAAGGGCGCTGCGCGGGCCCCGTTTAGAAGAGCAGGAATCAGCCCTGAGGAGCTGCTCGCGGCACAGAGGCCCACCTCCTGGCACCATCGTGGGGGGCATCAGGGATGCAGCATGAGTTTTGTGGGGACCCCAACTTTCCAGTCGTGGCCTATGCCTCAACATCCACCTCATCATTCAATACAGTCTCCTCAGTTTCATTTTAAGGTCATGGGGACAGGAGTTGAAGGACTCACGTCAAATAGAGCCCTTGAGCTGGGAGTCCCGCGATGAGTAGAATAACCCAAAGTGGCCAACCTGCGAAGAGGCGCCTAGGGAGCGGGAAGGAGCCCATAGACATGACGGCACGTTCCGCACATTCCCGCGGAGTCAGTGAAGTAGGGTGAGTGGAAAATGCTCAGGAGGAAATGATCTAGGAGAAATGACGAGGGGTTAGATGGAGAAGGGCCTCCGGTTCTCTGCAAGGAACTGACATAGGAACGACAGCATATGTCTGACATTTTCCATAGAAAATAAAGCACATTAGATTCATGCATTTTATATCTTTTATCTTGTCCCAACTTAAAATTCACACACGTTTGAAATTTAACACTTGTAGGGGAATTTGTAACATAAGCTGTTTGCTTTGCTTTGGCTTCGCTGTTTCAGATAATAATGAATTTATGATAAAAGGCTATTAATAAATGTGCAAACATGGGGAGATGTTAGAGTTTGATATAAGAGTTGTTTTTGCTGCATTTTCAAATCTTAAGCAATCTCTCTCTTTTTTTTAATTAATTAGTTTATTTTTTTCTTAAGCAATCTCTTAAACCCCCTGGGTTTTTATTGTGACAAACGAACATCAATAGGATAACCTCTAAACATACATAGCTAAAAAAATAAATAAATAAAAATTAAAAAAATAAAAATAAAAATGCATAGCTATGGGAATGGAAGAAGAAATACAAATTAATTATAATATTTCATATCACCATGACAAAAAAAATTTTATCAGTATCTCTCCCAGCTCCGTAGCATCTCTTTATTTTTAGTATTCATGCATTAGCAAACTCAAGTTTTAAAGAAATCATGTGAACATTCAAGTAAACTGTCGCCTTTATATTTGGTGAAAGACAAGTATGAGGAAAAAATCCTTGTCAATATTCCATTCAATAAATATCTCGTTGTTGACCCTTTCCACAAGCATACTTTGGAAGACGACTATATTGGCAGCCACACAGTGGAGGAGTTTATCCTCTAGCAGCCTAGAGACCCGAAAGACTGATTTTTACTTATTTTTCAAATCAGCCGGTGAAATAGTGTCTTATTGGGCACAGGAAGAGTGCTTGAGAATGGAGAGGTGGCAAAGATCGTAGTTACAGTTTGGAAACTTGGAAGTCTCGGGAGGCAGATTTCGAGATGCGCCTTGAAGGACGGGGTCGAGAGGAAGGCCCAGGACTGGGGGCAGGAAGTCAGTCGCTGCGGATGGACGCAAGGTCCCGGCTTGTTCACAGGCCTTCGTGCTAGTCCTGCAGCACGGACCCGATTCCATCGGCGGGATTCAAATCCGGGGGCACCACGTCCCACGGGACCCGGAGCTTCCTGTGAGGAAAAGCCGAGGACCAGGGCAGGGCTTGGAATGCAGGATCCGCTCACGGAGCAGCTCTCAGCCATCCTCCCTTCTATTGGTAGGGATTTTTTTCCACGTAAAATGTATTTAGGGGAACAAAAGTTTCAGTAAATACGGATGCATGAATGAGGGAAGGGATAAAATCAGTGACTCCGCAGGACGTGGAGCGTCCATGGATAAACGGAAATAGGATGTGACCCCGTTAGGTTTTTGCGTTAAGCGGGACTTTAGTAGCGGCTTAAAGCAAACCAGGAAAATGGAGAAAAAGAAAAGACAAACGCCTCGGGCAGGATGCTGCGGGCTCCCACCGTTAACCTGCTCGTGGGAGAGGCAGGAGGACGGGGCCGGAGCGTTAAGTCAGGGGGCGGGGGGAGACCCGCAGCTCCAGGACGGAGGCACGTAAGGGCCAGGAGGGCCTCGATGAAGACAGGGCCACCCAGCAGGCTGCGTCCAGCAGGGGCGAGGGGGCAGGGTGACTCACCTGTGCCTTTGAGGTCAGTCAGCGTCAGCGTCGTCCTGGGAGCTGGCGCCCTGGGAACCCCAGAAGGCCTCCAGGAGAGCGCGGCCTCCTGGCCCCGACGCCCCCAGTGCTGTCACCCCTGGCACAAAATACCCGCTTCTCCTGCACGCGGGGCCACACGGGCGGCCAACGTGGGAGCCGGGCTTTGGGGCGGCGGAGCCGCCGCCTGCACCCGGAGCATCGCAGGCCCGTGGCTGGGGTCCGGCAGGAGAGGCCGAGGACAGGTGCCAGGGGGACATTGCCTGTGGGGCCTGCGGGCTCCGGCTGCGGCGCGCCCCCGTCCCTGTATGTGTCCTGGGGGCCCACGTCCTGGGAGCCGGGCGAGTGTCCATCAGGGACCCCAGCAGCCGCCCGGACCCCCCTCACCTGCACCACCTGCAAGTTCTGAGAATGGGCCACGACTCCCCTCCCCAGGACGGGTCGTGCTCCGGAGCCTCACAGATCATGTGCCTCTCCCCAGCCCATAAACCCTGGGGGCAGGGGCCGTGGTCGGGCGGCTCAGCGTTGGCGCCCCGGGAACCGGAGGCCTGGCAGGGCTGCAGCAGGTGCCGCAGGAGGCGGACAAGGTCGGGGCCCGGATGGGTGGGCGGCCCAAGCAGGGGCCCCGGGACCGCGACCCTGCACCTGCCCCTCCTCCGCCCAGATGCCTCCCGGTGGTGTCTCTGGCCCTCGGCACAGAGAAGGCGACATAAACAGTGTAATTCGAGGAGCTGTGACCCTAAGGACAGCAGACCTGAGAGTTTGCCCTGGTTTTGATAGGCACCCAGAAGGGACCCCACGGGTAGGACACGGATGATCGTTGCTCATGTCGCATGCAGGCGTGTCCGCGGCTCCTTGGAGGGGCTCGCTCGCGTCTGTGTGAATGTGGTCAGCGACCCCGGGGGCAGGAAAAGTGAAGTCAGGCCTCCTCCCTTACTGACTGCCCTTTTCCAGCTCGGGCCAGGGCCCCGGGCTGTGCTCCGCGCATCGAACTCCTTTCCCTAAAAATAGGAGAAAAAAGCAGCACGCTGTGCGGTGCCGCTGCTCCTCGGGGACCTGGGCGAGGTCGCTGCTGGCGGGCGGCCCTGCGCTGGGCAGGTCCCTGCGGGCATCCGGCGCCCCTCCCGGCCGCAAGCGCCCGTCCCAGGCGCGCCCCAACCGCAGCTCGGAGGCATCCTATTCTTTCCCTGTTTCTTGGCCTCGGCGGCGTGCATCGCCCTCCAGCATCACGTGCAGTCTGCTCTTCTCATGACTGGGGGCACATGGCCTCTTCAGCCAGAACGGTGACTCTGCGAGGACGAGGAGCTTGGTCTGTCCGCGCGGAATGTCCAGCGCCGAGGGCAGCGTCCGTCGGATGAGTGAATTCCTGATGTTACAGCAATAGCACCGCTCTCATAATGAGATGTAGAGTCCGGGTAATTTTAAGATGTGAAAAATCTTACGTCGTTAAAATATCCTAGAACTCACTCTGTTTTGCTGATTTTTTTTTTTTTTGTATGACTCTTGCGGTTCGGTCGGTGCAAAGAGATCATCCGTTCCCTAAAACCCCAAATGAGGGAGCATGAGGGGAAGTATCGCATCTTTCAACTGAATTAGCTGAGTCCTCTGCAAATATTCCTCACGGAACCGGCTTTCGGGAGACACGGTTCAGGACGTGCGTATTAATAAGAAAGGTTATTCCAGGTGTGAGCCGCCGAGGGATGCGCTTACCTCCGCCAAGAAAGGAAGCGGGGATGCGCGTGTGCACACAGGCCGTGCTTGACAGACGATGCCGCCGCCCGTGTGACCTGCGCCCCCCGACGTCTCCACTTCCTGCTCGACATCGTGTGTGACTTTTCCTCCTACTTCACAGCTGAGTCTCCAAGACACACCAAGCGGCCAGGCTGCGTTGATGAGGATTGAAACCCACTGAAGAGCTGCCCGGATCAGCAGCTGCAAAACATGCAAACCTGCCCTGCTTCTGACGCTGCAACCGTGTTAAGTCAGTGTCGTCTACACCGACAGCTCCAGCAGGACGTGTGTGGGTGTGTGCAGAGGGTCGGGGCGCAGGTTTGTTATACGGAGTTGCCCGCCCTCGTGCTGGAGGCTCTCAAGCCCCAGGACCTGCGCCGCACAAGCTGGGAGAGGGGAGCCGACCGCGTAAGATCGAGTCTGAGGACTGGCAGGCCCAGGCCCGGAAAGAGCCCGTGTTTCAGCTCAAGGGTCGTCAGGCAAGGAGAGCTCCAGCTCCTTTGGGGACGGTTCAGCCTTTTTTGTTCCTGTCAAGCCTTCAACTGATTGGGCAAGGCCCACCCACCCCGGGGAGAGCCGAGCGGTCACACAACCTCGTGCAGGGGCGGCCTCACAGAAATGCCTGGGAACCCCACGGTCCCATTACGTCGCCACACGACCCCCCTGCCCCAGCTTACCTGGCGTTCCTACCTGACTCGGGGTTATTCCTCTGGGTCTTCTACTGTTTACAACACCTTCCGAGGGCATTGAAATTGCAAGTAAAAAAAGTTTCAGCTTCGTTTTAGTCTCATAGACGTGGTTTTTGGTACTCTTTCCATCCTTATACAAAGTTAATGCCCCTTTAAAAGTATTTTATAGTTGTAATGATTATGGAAATTTGATACTACAGTAATCCTTTTCCTTATTATTTTGTTTTTTAATTTTTTTTCCTTATTATTTTAAGCCCTTTGTGGAGGTTACATCCACGGGAAAAGCGGGACAGTCCTTTCTCCTGGGTTTCCGGATTTTTACCCCAACTCTCTAAACTGTACGTGGACCATCGAGGTGTCTCATGGAAAAGGTAAGATACGACATGGACTTTACACGTGCAGGAAAACTAACGAGGTGCGGACACGAGAACAGAGCAAATAAGTATCCACGCGTGAACAAATAGATATCTAATTTCTTCACATTTATCTGGATTTTGATGTCATATTACCTTAGAAGAAAAATGACCCAAAGTGATTCATGCTACTGTAAAAGTAGATTCCGTTTTACTTTCTATCAGATAACTTGTATTCGTGCAGGTGAATGTATGCTTGGAAAGTAGGTGTGATGGTAAAGAAAAGAGGCACAAGAAATAAAACACAAATATCAGTTAAATCAAAGGGAGTAAGAAATTATCTAGACTTTTTTTTCTATGATGATAAATCTAGGATAACTTTATTAATCTGTTTATTTATTTTTAAAGATTTTATTTATTTATTGATGAGAGACAGAGAGAGAGGGGCAAAGACACAGGCAGAGGGAGAAGCAGGCTCCATGCAGGGATCCCGATGTAGGACTAGATCCCGGGACCCCGGGGTCACGCCCTGGGCTGACGGCAGGTGCTAAACGGCTGAGCCACCCGGGCTGCCCTGATAACGTTATTTAAATATTCTATTTATTTATTTGAGAGCCAGAGAGTGTGAGCATAAGCAGGGGGAGGGGCAAAGGGAGAGGGAGAAGCAGGCTCTCCGCTGAGCAGGGACCCCGATGCAGGACTCGCCCCCAGGACCCGGGATCATGACCTGAGCCCAAGGCAGACACTCAACCCACTGAGCCACCCGGGCGCCCCCAGGGTAACATTCTGTCCTTGTGCTGTGTTCCAAATCTACTCAGTATTATCGTACATAATAAATCATTGATCTTCATAAAATCCACTGATGACTGATGGAGATTTCATTATTTTCATTTTATAGGTAAGTATACTGACGGCCAGGAAAATTTGTGATTTGTGTACGAAATATAGTTATGAATCCTGAATTTAGGATTGTACCCCGGTCTCCCCTGTAGGACCAATCTTGTCGTTTTTAAGGACATCGTATGAAATATTAATCGCACAGATACCAGGGAGACATTGTCTTTACACTTTAAATTTGAATACAACTCGGTATTAGATTGACATGTGATTTTATAGCCTGTATTACGTCATGCTGACATGTATTTTGATTGCATGTTAAGAATTTCCTTGGGGGAAAAAAAAAGAGGCACCCGGGTGGCTTAGTGTTTGAGCGTCTGCCTTCAGCCCAGGGCGTGACCCCGCGGTCCCAGGATCGAGTCCTGCGTCGGGCTCCCTGCACGGAGCCTGCTTCTCCCTCTGCCTGTGTCTCTGCCTCTCTCTGTGTGTCTCTCATGAATAAATAAATAAAATCTTTAAAAAAAAATAAAAGAATTTCCTTGGGGTGCCTGGATGGCTCAGTCAGTTAAGCATCTCACTCTTGATTCTGGGTCAGGTCAGGATCTCAGGATGGTGGGATTGAGCCCCACGGCAGGCTCCGTGCTGGGTGTGGAGTCTGTTGAAGACTCTCTCTCTCCTCTTAAAAAAAGAAAAAAAGAAAAAAAGAAAAATTTCCTTGAAGGAAATTGAGAATAAGCAAGAAACAAATTGTGAGTGACCAAGAAATTGTCATCATAAAAACTAGTATTTTTATGTAAAAGGAGCTGTCCTTTTTTAGGCATTTTACTGCTTTTGCTCTGGGAATCCATTAGTAGTCGGTGTGGTTTATGTGAGGGCAGATGCGTAAGGAGAACGTAAAACCAGGATTTCCAAGAATTCTTCCCTCGGCTGTACACGTATATATGCCAGAGCTCCAACGTAAGGTTTTGTCCAGGACACACGTCAAATATAAATGCAAACCTCACGCAGCCCTTTATTCCTCTCGGGCGAATGCCTTCCCAGCGACCTTCCCGGGACACGTCCTCGCGCGTCCGTGTCTGACGCGGTTCCCCACGCGGTTCCCGCACCCCCGTGTCTAGCCTCCACCTGCACCTGCGTGCTCGTGCACTTTGACCCCTCTGACTACTTATATTTCTTTCCACTACTTATACCCTTTTGTTTCTAGATACGCTCTTTCTATTCATTCTCTGCATCTTCCTTTGAAACTTCAAAGTGAAGTTTGCAGATAACGATCGATCACATTTTGATTCAAGAGTCCGGGGTCTCTAAGCCCGGGAGACACCCTCCCCCGCACCCATCCACCCGCCCCCCGCCGTTGCCTGACGTCTGCCCACCCTCGTGCCCCCCAGGAGTTCAGATGACCTTTCACACCTTCCACCTCGAGAGCTCCCACGACTACCTGCTGATCACGGAGGACGGCAGCTTCACGGAGCCCGTGGCCAGGCTCACCGGGTCGGTCCTGCCGCACACCATCAAGGCGGGCTTGTTCGGGAACTTCACGGCCCAGCTTCGGTTCATATCGGACTTTTCCATCTCCTACGAGGGCTTCAACATCACCTTTTCAGGTACGTCGCGCCCTTCTGTCGCTGGTCTCCGGGGGCAGGGGTGGGACCGTGTGCATGAGCGTCAGGGCGGGCGTGTGCGCGTGTGCACGTGTGTGGTTACAGGTCAGTGCCCGAGCCGGGCAGGCCCTGGCCAACCTGGGAGAAGGACGTGAGGACATCGTGGATAACGTATCACCACGTTTTCCCGAAAAGCCCTTTGCGCTCGCTTCTCATCAAGCCCTTCAAAACCTCCGAGCGAAGGGGCCTCCCCAGGAGACGGGGCCAGGATGAGCCGCCATCTGAGCATCCGGGCCCTGCCCTCCAGCCGAGGCCGGCTCGCCTCGAGGACCACATCCACAGTGAGCAAAACTAGAGGACGGTGGGCACGCGCGTGAGGGTGAGCGTCCGTTTGCTTTATTGAATGCTTCGCACACACAGGCGAAGCCACCCCGCAAGCCCTGTCACGTGTTTGCTGATGATCCGCACGCAGTCCTCGCCCAGGGTCCCTGCTGCCTCACGCGGACGGTGTCCTAGGGATGGGGCCGTGTCCTGAGAGACAAGGGGGTCCTGTGAGCTGAACAACGGGGCGAGCCCGCCATCAGCTTGATGGATGGCACGAGCCGCGGTCGGCGAGGTGCTGCTGGGCGGGCCGGAGCCAACGCACATGCGGCCTCGCCCCCCAGCGGGCCTCCTGCTCTGCAGCTCCGGCTCCGGCTCCAGCGGCTGCAAGCAGCTGCATCAGTGCATGTTCGTGCTTAGGATGCCTGGGGACGGCGACTGTCCTTCCTCCTCCTCTTCTAAGCCCGGAGTTGATGCTGCTCCCTAAGGTCGTCCCGAGCCCCACAGTCGCCCGTGATGTCTCCTACTTCGAAGCTCCCGTCAATTCCCTAAGAACTTTTGATGCCACTTCCAAGATGCTTCGTCACCATGCAGGACTCTTTAACTTGTCTCATGTCTTGACGCTAAAACCCAAGGGCAAAGGGCTTCTCTGCCTCCCTTACGTCAGCGGCAGGTGCGTTCCTGTGTCGTTACGTAGTAGGGGACGGTGAGCTGATCACTCCTCACTATCGCAGGACCGTTCCCAACGTGGGCGCCGAAATGTGGTCTTATAGGGACAGATTTCCCGGGGATTTTAAGATGCTCCGACCTGTTTCACACTCCCCGTAATTAGGACCGATCGCCGTTTATCTGTATCCGACTTTGTTGGTCTTTCCAATGTTGGCATTTCACTGCATTAGCGGAGCTCTTGGGACGAGCCCAGACGACTCAATTTCTTGGAAATCTGCCGTAATCAGGCGTAATCATGAACCGTGCGGCGGAGACCTGAATGCTCCTAACACTCAGGTCCAGGTCCCCAGGTTCTTCCCTGGTGGGTCTGGGCTGCAGCCAACCCAAGACAGACGTCCCCTCTGTTCCCACTTTGCTCAAGATCCACAATGCACGTGCACGGTCCCTTCCCCGGACACCTCTCGGGACCTGGCGGCGCTGCCACCAGCGTCCAATGCTCCTGCTTCCGCTCCCGCTCGGAGCTGACAAGGAGCCTGCGCACCACCCGGGGTCAGAAAGCCGCACTAGGGCCGACGCCTCCTCTTCGCACAAACTCCCTAAACAAGCAAGCGAGCAGAACAGCAGCAGGAAACACAGAAGACACCTCTCTGGGGCTTTGCAGCCCCTTGGATCAGTCACTACATGTTTTAAAACCTTGGGGCTCCAGGGTAAAGCGTCCCAGTCTCCACCTCAGCTCCAGGCTCGGTCTGAGGGTCTGGAGCTCAAGGGCCGTGTTGGGCTCCTCGCTGGATGTGCAGCCGACCTGCACAAATCACAGCAACAAAAAAACCCTTTAAACCTTAAAAGGCAATGAGGTGCCCGGGTTTGAACGTGTGGGACAATTCGTTCGCACACAGCAGGTGGAGGAGGATCTGTAAGGCTGCTGAGGAGCCACATGGCCTAGCCGCCGTCCACGCGGGCGTCCCCAGCCCCGGGATTGCAGAGCCAGGACCTCAGTAAACATGCTCCTGAGATGTGCTGAGCAAGAGTTTCATTTGCAAGGATTTTGCCTTGAAACCCGGCTGCCAACAATCGCCAGCGCCCCCCCCCCATACAAGGGAGTTTATTTTTTTAAGTGTCCAAATAAGCGGCGACTTTATTATGCAGATGAAGCTGACTCCCTCCTGGGGACTCCTGGGATGTGAGCACTGACTCCGAAGGCTTTCACCTCGGCCTCTTCTCCTAGCCTGGCTTCCCTCCGTTGCTTGCACTAGGGTTTGGTGAAGTGGCATTTGCCACCGTGTGTCCCAGTGGCATCTCTGCCGATGCTCAGGGGACCTCAGGGGACCCTGTGGGGAGGAGCCGCAGGTGCACACCGGGTGCACGCAACCACGTGGGGCCCTGCTCCGCCCTGGGCACCAGTCGCCGGGGCCTCGTGGTGCACACTCGGTTCCCCCAGGGCCCCCTTCCTTTACCTTTAGCAGCAAAACAGTTCCACACTGTTGGAGTTACAGTCGTGAAACACGTCATCTTAAGGTTGCGCATCTTATATATATAAAATAAATATAATAAATAAATATAATTTAGTATATATATAATAAATATAATTATATATTATTTAATATAATTATTATATTTATTATTTATTATTTATTATTTATTATATATTATATTATTTAATTATATTAAAATGTAATTATAAATTATGCTACAAAATAATAGAATCCCTGCCATTCATCATGAGACAGCTTATAGTACAAGGAAAAATGATCCACAGAACGGTTATGGAGGAGTTTGAAATATATATGTATATATATATATTTTTCTAATAACTGCCATTTTTTTTAATTCTTGTGAAATAGTATTTGAGTATTCACCCACTCCCGCCAATTTACTCTGTCTCTCCGTGTCTCAGAGTACGACCTGGAGCCCTGTGATGACCCTGGCGTCCCTGCCTTCAGCCGAAGAATCGGTTTCCACTTCGGAGTCGGGGACTCTCTGACTTTCTCCTGCTTCCCGGGGTATCGCTTAGAAGGTGCAAGCAAGCTTACGTGCCTGGGTGGGGGCCGTCGTGTGTGGAGTGCACCTCTGCCAAGGTGTGTGGGTAGGTGGTCACACGCTTTCATTTCATTCATCCAGCGGGGAGAGGGGTGGCGCGGCCAGTGCGAGGGCGGCGGGCACCCGGCCTGGGAGTGGGTCCCCAGCCCTTGAGCGCGGCGCCTCCTCCGGCCTCGAGCCCCGGCGGGGCCGCCCCGCAGCATACGTCCGGCGTGTTTGGGAAGGAACACACACATACACATAAAACTGCAGCTCACCTGGGACGGAGGGAACGCGAAAGCCCGGAGCGGGCTGCGTTAGCACAAGCGCGGGCCGTTGCGTGGCTGAGAAGCAGTGAGCGCGCCCCGATGCGACGGCGGCAACGCTGCGGGCACGGGGGGGCCCCTGTCGGCCGTCACTCAGGTCGGGGACCCAGTGGCTGCGGCCCTTGGGGAGGCTGGTGCTCAGCGGGGAATCCCAGGGGTCATCACACTGGGACAACCAGGAATCCCCAGTGGGGACCGAGCGGTAGGCGGGCTGAGGACGAAGGCACCTGTGCGGCCCGGGGTCACCGCCCCGACACCTGCACTGGCCGCTTGGCCACGCCGCTTAGCAGGTGAACGGGCGGCAGAAGGTGCCTGACTGGCCCGGACTGCTGGGGGGCGGGGGGCTCCCACCGCATCCGCAGGTGCCGCGCCAGGTCGTGCAAACGGTCCCAGGACCCAGACAACGGCCGCGTGGCTCCCTGAGGAAAACCCCGTCATCCCCCCACATGCCTCTTCTCCCGTGAGCACGGCCAGGCCGGCGGCGGGTCCGCTGCACGCGTCCTCCCGTGTTCCAGCCAGAGTCCCCCACCCGCGCCTTCTTTGAAAAACAGAATGACACGGCCCAACGCAGATCCGATCAGCTTCGCCTCTCACCGGGGCGCAGGCCTGGTGGCATCTGCCGTCCGGCTTTCCCCTGAACCCGTGCCTCTCACTTGGGGGGTGATTAGGATGGGGACCCCCTTGGTGCAGGCTCACTGCAGAGAAAGAGGAGCCGTGTGTGCTGCGCGGGCCTGGAGCCCGTGGTCCCCAAGTCAGCGATGACCCCGAGGCACTTTAAGGGCTGGGAGGAAGTCCCGAGCCAGGGAAGCCAACGCTTTGTGGCCCACGGACAGCAACGCCGCATCCCTGTGAGCCTGCGGAACGGGGGTGCACTGTCCTCACCCCGTTCCTCGGTGACTCGGGCTCTTACACCGCTGCCCAGGATATGGAAGAAGAACCCACGTTAGTGTCCGCAGAGCCCTGCGCCGCCCTGAGCCCGCAGGTACCGACTCCACTGATTCCCAGGAACCAATGGGCTGAGTGGCATCGCCGTCACATGCGCTGTGCAGACGAGGACACCTGCAGACGTCACCGTGACAGGTGCAGGTCCCGCGAGGGTGCCGGGCCGAGCCCTTCCACGTGCAGCCTCTGTTCTCAGCCCCGAGTTTCCCGCATTTCCTTCCAGCCCGTCTGACCGCAAAGAGCCCTGCAGGACGTGCTAGTCACGGTGGCATTTCCCCTGAGGGCGCCACTGGTCCTTTCCTCGCAGGCTCCATGGGGGATGGGCTGTGGGGGTGGAGATGCTGGGACCCCGCCGGGTCCTGGGGTCCAGATCCCCCACCCACGATGTGCACCCAGCCCAGGAGCTCCTGGGTCCCAGATAGAGCCCAGAGGGATCGGGGCCCCACAACGGCCCCTCCTAGGGGACCCCCAGGCACCCCGTAACATGCAGCAGGGCCTGAGCCCCATCACCTTGGGGGACTCTGTGGATCCCTGCACGACCTGAGGGATCCTGAGGCATGAACCAGGAAGCCTGCGCCCAAGGTCACCACCAGGCTTGCCCTTGGGTGTCTGCCCATCCTGCTCCCTCACCTGCCACAGGTCAGGCTCTTAGGTCAGGCTGTCTCTGCCCTGTGACCTCTCATTTGAGAGCTGTCCCTTCCCCATCACCCTCTCACCTGTCAGCTGTCCCTTCCCCATCACCCTCTCACCTGTCAGCTGTCCCTTCCCTGTCACCCTCTCACCTGTCAGCTGTCCCTTCCCTGTCACCCTCTCACCTGGGATCTGTCCCTTCCCCATCACCCTCTCACCTGTGAGCTGTCCCCACCCCATCACCCTCTCACCTGTCAGCTGTCCCTTCCCTGTCACCCTCTCACTTGTCAGCTGTCCCTTCCCTGTCACCCTCTCACCTGGGATCTGTCCCTTCCCTGTCACCCTCTCACCTGGGAGCTGTCTCCCCCATCACCCTCTCACCTGTCAGCTGTCCCTTCCCTGTCACCCTCTCACCTGGGATCTGTCCCTTCCCCATCACCCTCTCACCTGGGAGCTGTCTCCCCCATCACCCACTGGACCCTCCGTCATGACAGCTCTACTCCATTAATGTTCCTCCATGTTCTGGGCTCCCATGAGGCTGACCCTGTTTGCACTGGGGCCACCTGAGCCCCGAAATCTACCTCTTTGCTTATCCGATAGGTGCTGGTCAAACAAAGATTACTTCCCTCTGAAGCTTCTCTCTCGATCTTAACACTTTGATTCTGTGCCTGCATTTCTTCTTTTAAAATGACAAAATTAAGAGTGACCGATCCACAGCCAAAAAGTTGCAAATCCATTCCAGAGATCACAGGTGACTTTGGAAGAATTTCAGCTGAATTACGAGCATGTGGTTTTGGTTTTCCCTAATAAACGTCTCATCTGAAATACAATTTCTAGTGAACACTGAAATTAAGAACTACTTTTCTCTTCATCAATTCACTCGAAAATTAAAGAGAAATGATCTTCCTGTTCGTATGTATTATTTTTAGGGCTATTTCCAATTATTTACTCCGGGTCCTGGAAACAATATCATTATGCACTCTGTAGTGTATAACAGGATGTGCACGCCTTCAGTGCCACATTTTGCATTACATTATATGTGTATCATTCAATTTATTATTTTTTTATAAGTTAAAAAGATACCCAACGGGTTTATGTGAAAATGGAGGTTTATAGGCGATTTGAGTAAACAGTCATAAACCAGGACAGGCTCAGGTGAGGTTTGATCAAGGACTTGACTTTGTAACCGAGGCCCTGTCATCTGTCAGCCCGGGTGCTGCCCCTATCTGCAGGCTCCTGTGTCCTTGGGTCGCCCTGGGAAGCTCCCTGCTCTCCCAGGAGGCGTCCTCGGGGCAGGCTCTCATGGCAGCAGACAGTCCTGCAACGCCAGCATCTTGCAGCCCAGAGAAACGGCTTTCCCAGGATGGTCTGTGCAATACCTGGTTGCCTCGGATCAGCCCACACGCGTCACCTGCCTGTTCCTGTCCAATCCCTAGCAAGGACGTTTCTCGTTGTCTTAGGATATTTAGGGGCCCATCTACATAGGTGTTGAATAATAAGGAAAATTACGTATTTTATGATTTTTGAGATATTTTGTGACATCTTGTTGGGGGAAAAAAACAGGCAGGGGAAAGGAGACATGAGTCAAATGAGTAGCCACTAGAATTCTCTAATCTAATATTGCATCGATGAGCACAGATTTTTGAACAGAAAACTCGCCCAGGCACAGTGTGCTAAGCCTCTAGTTGTACATCAGATTAATTACCAGATAGTATCTGCTGAGAGAATTTTTTAAAAATCAAAGAAAGCAAGAGTTATCTTGTTGTTGAATTTTTGCATTAATTCTATTTGTTGGACAAAACATAGTGTCCTTGGACAGAATACAATGAGGAAAAAGTCAACGGGGACACCTGGGGGGCTCAGCAGTTGAGCACCTGCCTTTGACTCAGGTCGTGACCCCGGGGTCCTGGGATCAAGTCTCACATCGGGTTCCCTGCAGGGAGCCTGCTTCTCCCTCTGCCTGAGTCTCTGCCTTTCCCTCTGTGTCTCTTGTGAATAAAAAAATAAAATCTTTTTTTTTAAGTCAACAGTATTAGCCACAATTGTATAATGGATTAAAAATATTTCAGAGAGGCATAGTACAACATTATAGCTTCTTGTATTTTGATGAACTTAACTTTCAATCTTTTGACCAATCCTATCTGTGAACATTGTTTTCCTAGGCCAAGTGGTCCATTGATTCTGTTTATTTCTATAAGTCTTGGCTTAAAATTTTGAAACGGAATTAAAAACTGAATCTAGTCTTAAAAGTTTGCTCAATAATAGCATTAAATTAAGGAAATAGAGGTTCGTAGGATAATAGACTAAAAAGAGGATCAGCACTTTATGCAATTCTGATATATTCTTTGTGAGTAAAAATAAGATGACGCATTTTAAATAATATAGGCTCTCTCTTTTTTTATTTTTATTTTTTTTAATTTTTTTTTTTATTTATGATAGTCACAGAGAGAGAGAGAGAGAGAGAGAGAGGCAGAGACATAGGCAGAGGGAGAAGCAGGCTCCATGCACCAGGAGCCCGACGTGGGATTCGATCCCGGGTGTCCAGGATCGCGCCCTGGGCCAAAGGCAGGTGCCAAAGCGCTGCGCCACCCAGGGATCCCTAGACTCTCTCTATACACATATAGAACAGAGTTCGTACATCCCCAGGCTGCACAAACAGTATGGATTTCATACACAGACTCGTACACACACGGATGTATACTGAGGCCATTTTCTGATTTGCTTTTATTTTAGGAACCGAAATATTCTTGGTTTGCTGTAGAAAGGAAGTCGGTTTTCTGTCTCCCTTTCGTAGTGGAGCTACTTTCGATGTCCGTGCTCTACAAGTCAGGTCCTCAAAGCAAATACGCATGCGCTCATTAACGTGACATAATCAATGCAGGGTTTCAGATGTTCTCAAGGCCCCACTGCAATTTCCACAGCACTTGAATCCCCCCCTCCCCCGCAAGCACCTTCACATGCTGCCCCTTGGTTAGGAGGCCCCGTAGCCTGAGCCACCATGCGCCCTCAGTCCGCCTTAGAAGACACCTGTCACCAAGGGAACCCGAGTCCAGCCAAGGATGCCTGCACAGAGCTCCCCGTGCGTGCCCGCCCTCGGGGTGCAGCCCCCTGAGCCATCGGGGACACAGTACCTGCCAGCCCCCGCCCCGTTTGGGGAGTTGGTAGGGTA